GGGTTGTGCATACTGAGGGGTCTGTACTGGAGGGGTGTCTGTAATGAGGAATCGGTACTGAAATGGGGGTGGGTGTCTGCACTCAGTGGTCTGTACTGTGGGGGTCTGTACTGATGGATCAGTACTGGAAGGTGGGTGTTTATACTGAAAGATTGTTACTGGAGGGGGGGTGAAGGTACTGAGGGATCTGTACTGCGTGTGGGGGGAATGTGCTTGGAGGGTGTATGAACTGAGAGGTCTGTACTGAGGGGAGGGATGTACTGAGGTGTCTGTGCTGGGGGGGGGGGGGGTCTGTGCTGGGAGGGTGTATGTACTGAGGGGTCTGTACTGTCGGGGGAGGTCTGTGCTGTAAGGGCTTATGAACTAAGTTATCTGTACTGGAGTGCCTGTACTGAGGGGGTCTGTGCTGAATGGTATAGGGGTCTTTACTGAGGGGTTTCTGCTTGTGGAGTCAGCCTGTACTGAGGTGATTGGTCTGTACAGGAGGGGCGGGCTGGGAGGGGGGATCAGGGATGTTAGGGAAGATCTGTACTGTGGGGGAAATGAGCTTGGGGGGTTGTGCTTGGAAGAGGAGGTAATTTTTGGTTGTATGCTGTAAAGTGGTTTGTGTGTTACACACTCCTGAGCGATGCACTGTCTGCATTATGCACCCCTGAGCCCTGCACAATAAATGCTACAGGATTGATATACTAAAGGCAAATATACTTTGCAATGCAAGTGCAGTTGCTCCAGAGCTTGGTAAATTAGGTAAATCTTCACTTTGCAAGAATACCCAATTACATGCAAGGAAAATAAAAAAAAAACTGTATTTTGCTTACACATGATTGGATGATGGAGTTTCCCTCATTTCAGAGCTTCCACTCAGATCTAGAGCAACTGCACTTGTAGTGCACAGACTATTTGCCATTAGTAAATCAACCCCTGTTTTGTACATTACATACTCCTGACTACTGCACTCTGCAAGCTTGGCTTTATATGACATACTCCTGAACAATACACTCTAAGTACATTATATACTCCCTGAAATTCTTCTTTAGCACCTTCCCATTGGCTGTATGCATATATACGACCTCTTGGTGGGTGGGCCTTAACACTGAGTGGCCACATATATGCGGTCCTATATAAACAATGTACTGCACTGAGAGCACGCTCCCTGCACCCTCCCAGCACGGTAGCTGTTTGGGATCAGTAAGTGTTCTGATTATGTGACCACTGTGACAGTCAATCACAGCGGTCACATGACCCGAATGCCCGCCTCCACCTCCCGACATCTAGAAACTCTTAAAGGGCTGGAAGGCATCAACCAGAAGGGGTTAATGTAAGCATTTATTCATCTATATCTATGAATTGCCAATACTAAAGCGTGTTTTCCTTTGCTGTACTGCTACACTTAGGCTGCTGCCCCTGGCATCCATTGACATCTACAGGAACCTAGTTGCTGTGAAACCCAGCCTGGCCTTCCTGTTTCTGGAGGAGCTGAGAGACTGATGGACCAGTGTGAGGCTTACTACTCCATGATACCACAAGCCCAAATGTCGAAATCATTTTGAGGAAAGCGTGTCCTGCTGTGAGAAGATTCACTGCCAGAGGCTGACATATGTGTGTTTACACTTACATGCCATTTATCACCTCAATAAATAAATGTTTTAATAACCACAACACTCAGATGCGCTTTCTGCTGTCCATATCTGTTACTCTAGAGAATCTTCAGTTGCTCAAGAGGCGCCATGCTAAAGTGACTTGGAACTACACCTGAGTCATTCCATAATCTTCCACAGCCACTCTCCTTGGGACGTAGATCTGTTTGTACCCTTGTGCCATAATCTTCACTCCTATAATGTCCTTTGCATAGGCTATCCCCTAATACATGATACACAATACAACAGCTTTCTATACAAGCATGATCCAACATATTTCTCAAAATGAAAGATCTCAGAATTTTCGTAAAGAATTTTGCTGAATCAGAACAATATAAGACATTTCACAAGTAATAGTCAGTCTCTCTCTCTCTCTCATAACATTTACATTCTCTAAATCGTCTCTGATGAGTTGCAACCTACATACCAGCCGTTGTTATATATATGTAGCATCTTCGGGAATGGAGAGCAGTTTTGAAGAGAAAAAAGGAGGGGAAAATAAAAATAAATTCAATTAATGTATGATTTTTGTCCTCCCATTTACTCAATTTTCAAAAACTACAGCCATAATAGGTGGCTTTCATTTCATTAATATTTCGAAAAATTTCACAAACACTGCTATGTTAAGCTGCAAGCAAGAAAGTGAAAATTCTAATGCCAAAACTCACACCTAAAATGAAAATGCTGCACTAGAATTAATGATATAGATAATACAAACATAGTGTCAAAATTGTTAATCATAAAAACAATTCATCAAATCTATAAAGATAAGTACTAACCATCTGTGTGAACAAATTATAGTCAGTGTGTTGGGTGTTTCTCATTCAGTGCTGAACTTCTTGGTCCTGTGAAAAGCCTGTTGTAGAGTCTACAATGCAGCTGCAGCCAAGATGAAGATTGTGGAAGAACCCAACAGCTTTGGGTTGAATAATCCACTTTTATTGCATACAAACAAGCTACAACCAAGGATATCTCCTTTACCACTTTCAGGTCCATCACACCTCTTCAGATTGGCAGGGAAGTGTTTTAGTCTTGTGGAATCCACGGTTAATAGCCCTGCATTGCACTAGTTGATGCTGAGGGCCTGCCTGGAGACCCGAGCTTTGGGAAGAGGTGGAGGTGGAAAGCACTGAAGCGGGGGGATCAGTGGATGCTGATAGAGCAGCCCAATTTGGGAGCACTGGGATTCATTGATAGGCAAATTTAATTCCACATTTTGTGTATTGCTGGTATTTGGCGTCTTCTGGATGCCTGGTATACCGAGAGCTGGTGGTTACTACAAAGCAGGCAAATGTTAATTGTGTTACATCTGATATTGTAGAGGAAGCTGAGGTCGGTGATATCTGCTATCATTGAGCTGTCTTTGACCACTCAGTAAAATGAGGGTCAAACCCATCTAGTAAGCCTCCCTTGCGAACAGTGTGGGGTGATACATTTGCATGTGTGGACAACACGTCATTGTCATTGGAGGGATATCCATTCACACAGTTGAAGATTCTCACATGGAGATGGGACTTTTTTATATGGACTTTTTTTTATGTATTCACTTGTTTGATTTATACCGTATGTAAGATGCACTCACCTTACTGAGTTTGCTGTTGGGTTTATTTATACTCTTTGAGGACAAATTCATTAATTATTTTTACTTAACTGAGTTTCACAAGGTAATAGATGGGTTTGCACCATCATTTTATTTTGAGCGCAACACTGTTTTATAATTAAATTATAGCAAGTGTTCAAACATTTGTGAAATAGTTTTTCAACACACAGGTATTCATAAGTCCATGATAAACTTCAAAAACAGTGTCCAAAATTGCAGAAATCCATGACAACTTTAGAAAAAACAAACAATAGTGATTCAATCTTGAATCCTTCAGTGTCATCCACAAGATATGAAACCAAGTTCTATTTAAACGTTCCAGTGAGTACCACCACCACTCATATGGGCATTCCCACACCTGAAAAAACTAACCTTTCAACGACAAGGTCTTGCATGAACAATTTTCAAGTTGGGATAAAAGCTATTAATCCTAATATGGTGGTAAAGATACCAAGGCTTCCAAGATCAGTCCGCGTATGTGGAACCAGAGAAACACAAAAGAAAACAATATAGTGCGCACTGTAATAAAAAATATTTATTAACCAGATAAAATTGCACTTATATATATAAAAAAGTCACTTCTCACTTTCAAATGCTCTGACTTCCAAATGCAACAATCAACTCACTCGCTGAGCCAGGCTGTTTCTGTCAGCACTGCATGGACAACAGAGTGGTTTGATAGCTATTATACCTGCTTGAAAAGAGATATGAGTGCAAGACCTTTTTGTTGAAAGGTTTGTTTTTTCAGGTGTGAGAAAAATCCATATGAGTGGTGGTGGTACTCAATGGAACATTTATATCGAACTTGGTTTCATCGCTTGTGGAAGACACTAAGGCCCCTTTCACATGGGCGGAGCTATCGAGTCCTCCTATCATTTTTTTTAAGTGAACTCGATAGGACCCTCCATTGCCCTGTATGGAGCGGCAGGTGTAAATAGATACATGTCCATTTACACCCGCCAATATCCGATCCAATCCCATTCACTACAAACAGATGGATGAGGATCCATTCCACATCCATCTAGCAGAGCACATCGGATCGGATAGCCATCGGGTGTATAGGGCTAGGCAGTCAGTTTACATCCAAATGTCCCATAGAGAACAATGGTTTGTGTCCATGTCTGCTTTGCACAAGTGGAGCAGACACTGACCTGTCATCCACCTGCTCAGCAGGGATCAGCGGACAGATCCGCCACTGAGCAGACGGATCTGCTTGGCAGAGTCTGCCCATGTGAAAGGGACCTAAACGATTAAAGATTTAAAGTGTTTGAACACTATTGCTTGTTTGTTCTTGAGTTTTCATGGATTTATGCTATTTTGTAGTTTATCATGGACTAATGAACACCTGTGAATCGAAAGACTGTTTCACAAAATGTTTGAACACTTTATATAATTTATACACACAGGTGGTTATACACACAGGTGGTTATACACACAGGTGGTTAGTACTCATTATTAAAGCATTTGATGAGTGTTTTTATGATTAACAAGTTGAACACTATGTTTGTATTATCTATATAATTAATCGTAGAACAGCATTTTTCTGTTACACGTGTATCTACAGCATAAACATTTTTTTTTACATTTGGATAGAGTGATGAGGAGTAAAAATTTGAGGGTCTAAAATTTTGGAAAAATTAAAAATTTTGAGTTGGTACCAGAATGGGAATAGAGGGATAATATTCCAAAGGGGACACTTGTTCCTATACTTTATGTGTCTTTAGCTAAATACAACAGAACAGTTCTCTTCCATCATATTATACCTGAACAATGAACTCCAGCATCCTCTCCGTGATTACAATTGTGTATTGTAAATCCTTGGTGGGGGCAATTCCACAAAAAGTCTTCATCACCTCTGCAGTTTACATCATCCAGTATGATTGGTCCATTCCCTTGTCCATAAGTTGCACTCCCAAAGAAAGAAACAGCTGAGCCACAACCCAACTGTCTACATACAACCTGTGCATCACTGCTGTCCCAAAGATCGTCACACACCGTTCCCCATTCACCCCTGTAGAAGATTTCCACTCGACCAGCACACCGATCTCCCCCATCTACCAACCTAAGAAAAAGGGGGAGGGCTACAAAAAAGGAACATAATATTGTGACCTTAAACATATATCACAGTCAACCAATACAACAGTTGCGAGATAGATGGTTGTCAATACATAATGCTTTAATCAGAATACAAAATAGAGTTTTACAATAGCCCCTTAAAAAAAACTCTTCCAAAATGTCTGAATTACAAAATTAATTAAAATACAGATCCCCAGGTCCCCAGAGGACATAGATAGAGGAACTAGTGAAATCCAGGAGATCGACACTATTGAAAGGTGTTTGTTCACTGTTGGACTTTGGGAGATGACAAGTCATGAACAGATCATTATTTAGTGGCTTTGGCACCTGGAAAGATGATTATGTACACTTTTCTTCTGCAAATCACAGCAGTTTGACTAATTATTTTTTATGGCAGGGTCATTTTAAGATAATCTGAGGGTCTACACTATAAGGAGGGCCTTTTATATTTACTGTATATGTTTTAAAAATAATACTAAAAAAAACAGAATATGGTACAAATCCTATTAGGTCTCAAAGATGGTTCAAACAATGAAATGGTTGAAATGAATTTCCACTCAAGCAAGTTCTTGTCTCCTTCAAGTGCTCATGAAAAAAATCGAAGCATTTATTTCATTATTGTATTTATTATTTAGTCTAGGGTATTTTTGTCTTTTAGATTGCTGTATTCAGCTGTATTGAAAATTTTTATTGTATTGCATGCATATATTTTTGATGAGTACAAATATTTCTCATATATAATTTGGGTTCCTTGGAGTTAATGCAAATACATTTTTAAGAGACTAACTTTAACAAGCCTGTAATTTTTTCCTGAATGAGAAGAGTCTCCTTACAGAGATATTAAACTGAAAACCAAAAATGTGGTATATTGGAGTTTACTAATTCTTAGTGTATCTTTTTCTTGGCTTGTTTCCATCTGTTTTCACTGGACGAACACACCTCCTGTATTAGAGTGCCTATGCAGTGGATGAAGGAGCAACAGAGACACCTTTGGACAGCAGCACTGTCTTTCTGGGGGGAGGGGAGTGTTAGATACACTAACAAATTGAAGCCAAACTCCAGCTAACAATTTATAAACAGTTGCAGCAAACAGTTTTGTTCCTTTGGGGATAAATGAATAAAAGCTGACCATTGTAAGCACCCCTGTCAGTGTTAAATAGAGAGTTGGGACAAGCTAACTGCTACATCTGCAGGACAGATTGTTCTGTTGAAAACAACAAACTTACTGGCCAGGTCACCATGTGAAAATAAAGGAAAAAAAGCCTAAAAAGGAAAATGAATACAGCCACCACATCTAAGAATTGATGATCTGCAATACAATACTGTAAATGTTTTCTTTTGTGGTTAATACTGCTTTAAGTGTATATTCTGTCACAGCATTTGAGGGTATATGGAATGTGTCATAAACACCTACTAAGCACCTTCTTTTGAAGCCTTGCTACCATTCCTTATCTCTCCTGTTGTTTTCAATGTAGCAGCTGAAAATACCACTATACAATACTAAGGGCAATAGAACCAAAGACCAAACTATAAAATGGGAAAATCACTTTTAATCGTACTTACCAGAGGTATTATCTAAAGGTGTAGTTGTTTTTCTTGCACCTATATCATGGAAGATGTGCTAGTTATGTTAAAAGCTTTGTCTTTAACATCTTTTATTGTTATGCCTAATGCTTAAATGGCTTCTAAGTAGACTAGTGTATCAGAAGTAGATCTGCAGCCAACTGTCATCCAAATCATATAGCCATTTGTACTGCATCATTGGAAATCTGAAGGTCATGACTGCTGTGCAAAATTTGCCAGAGCTTCCAGGTATGAGAAAAGCACCTAACTCATATCTGGGAATTTTATTGTGGATTTTAGTTGTATGTCGCCCACCTGGGCATAGGTGTTGCCTGCTGCTGGTGGCTTTGCTGCAAAGCACTGTTCTGGGACCTATAGTAAAATATCTTATGATCTGATTTGCAAATCCTCTGCTCTACAGCTCCCTGTATAATATAAAGTGTATATATTATTATTATACAGTATTTATATAGCGCTAAAAGGTTAGCTCAGCGCTGTACATAATAGTGGGGGACAGAACATGAGACAATACAGTAACAAAACAAAACACGAGGGGTTCAAGGGCCCTGCTCTTTCGAGTTTACAATCTAGGAGGGTGATATAAGCATGAATACACTGACAATGGAAATTAAATGCCGGCATGCAGGAATGAAAAAAAACTTCATCCTCTTTTGACTTGTGGCGTACCTACTTATTCCATGGTGAAATATATTTTTGTAGGTATTTTAATTACACTTTTTTCCTTGGGGTCTCAAAATGTTTATCTGCTGTTGGGGCAGATGGTGACAAGAAAGCCACTTGGGCACAATTTCTGGGCCAACTTAGATTGGAGCCAATTAACCTACCAGCATGTCTTTGGAATTTGGAAAGAAACTCATACAAACACAGGGAGTACAAGCAATTTCTGTGCACATAGTGTCCTGATCTAGACTCAAACCGAAGACCCCACTGCTGAAAAGCAGAAGTGCTAATCACTAAGTGACTGTGCTTTCCAGCTTCTAAAACCAAGAATGTCACATCTATAAATGCAACATGTTAGGTTTATATTTACCAATCATACAGTTTTTGGACTACAGATAACAATGTCATGTGAACATGGCATGGTTCAGTAAAACTAGATTTGGCTTCACTGGTGAGGTTAGTTGTAATGCAATGTGTACTTACCTGTGGTGGTTCCCCAAAAATATCCTGTTGTTGCGGTGGTTTCTGGTGGAAAGAAATAAAACTACTATACAGCATATGCAAAAGTAATAATTGTGAGGCCACCTTACATACCACTATTTCTGTCTTTTAGGTGTATCTAATGCCCTTTAATTTTGGATTGAGTGGAGAAGGGTTATATCCTCTCTGCGGCTTTACATGCTGTCTGGGTCTCCGTTCAGGAAATGTCCTTATTGCTTATCCTGCTGATCATTATCACTGACACGGAAAGTGAACATAAATCCCAGAGTTATTTTGGCGTTGTCACCAGAAGAAGAGCTGAGGTGTGTCTTTCAACTGGGACATCTGTTCTGAAGACAACTTTATAAGTAAGAAAATCCCCTTACTTTAAGTTGATTCCTTCTCACTTCCTGTTACATCTATGGGACAGGAAGTAAAGAACTAAAATCCCATCTGTGCAAGAAACGTATTCTAATATTGAGCAAATAAAGTGCATCTGCAAGAAGTGCAAGTGTAGACATGTTCAAGTGCCATGTCTGAATTCTAGACCATTTTATTTTTGGTTTTCAGAAGGTATTCCTGTTATTATTAGACACCTAGGAGAAAAAAAAGTGACCTTTGAACTAAGCTATTGGCAGTCCATTTTAAAATATCAGATCTTTATCTTTTAATGTGGAGAGTATGTTTAGTTTGAACTAGACTTTAAACAATTAAAAGTAAATCAAGAAAATAAGGCAATATGAAAACATTTGCATATTATACCTACCTCGGGTAGTTCTCATTGTTGTTGAGGGTTCTGCTAAAAAAAAAATATATTACTAACAGAAATGAAAAAGTAAAAAGAATTTAAAGGATAAGTTTACTTTTTGTAACATGTTAGATGTTACACCTGTACTGGGATGATATGTGGGATTACCCCTTCCTCGATCTCGTATCGGCCAGAGACCGCCTCATTCAAGTTAAGCTGATGCACAAAATTCACTACATGCCAGCCAGATTGGCTCATATATATGCTTCTGGCTCAGCAGACTGCTGGTATTGTAAATCTTCAGCTGCAGATTTTGATCATGTATTCTTGCTCTGTCCCTTATTCAAAATCTCTGGCATATGGTGATCCGGTTCCTGGTCGAACTTCACATCCACTCTGACGTGAGGTGATTGGAGGGGTTAAGTATTTTTCAGGAGTACATTGCCCAGTGAATAGGATGGAGCAGGTCCTCTATTATGATTGTCCCATTTTTATACCTGAATCATTGCACTTCACCTGATTTTACTACTTCTTTATCTAGGGGTTATATGATAATGACCTTTCCCTATTTCAGGTATTGCATTATGGATTCATGGTTTAGGGTGGGGGGTTGGGTAGAATGCTAAGTTTACTGGTTGTGCCAGTATTTGATAGTTGATTGTGCCTATTTGGAATGTTAATGTACAATATAGTACTGTGTATGTACTTGTAAACCTTAACAAAAAGAATTTTCCAAAAAAAGATTAACAGCTCACCCACATGTTTCTATTGACAAAACAATTTGATGCGTTGTCTAACTGACCAGGAATGTGCCTTAAGCAGGATAGGGAAGTGTCAATGGTCTTTGGGGGACTGGGACTCAGAAACACAGTAATGTTCAGCATTGGAAGTAGCAGAAAAGGTAATTATGTACACTGTTCTTTCACAGAAATATCTGGTCTGAGTAGCTTTAGAATAGAGATATGGTGGCTTTAAAGGTCATTTCTGAGTGACGTGGTTTGTGAATGCCTCCATTTTGCAAACCAGCTTGCCTATTGCTTACATTGCTGACCCTGGTTGCTGATTTAGTAATAGGTACGCAGACAGGGGCGGACAGACAACTCATGGGGCCCCCGGGCAATACGGGATCATGGGGCCCCTGTGTCCTTGCTGAAACTCAAAAAAGCCTATGAAAAAGATACCAGGGGCATCTCATGGGGCCCCCTACTGACCCCGGGCCCTCGGGCAGTGCCCAAGTTTCCAAATGGTCAGTCCACCCCTGTACGCAGATATGGTTGACCCTGACTAACCAGCTATGTTCATAGCTGCTGATCTGATATTTTGCATGTATGACATATGTTGCATATGTCTTATGGAGCAAAGGTCCATAAGGCAACTGCAGGCAAAAGTTCTCTGCTTAGAAAAAGCATGAAGTGTAAAGCCAGCCATAGAACTCAATGGCTGCATATGGTTATACTGTCGTATAGGCTGATGTTTTTTGTGAATCAGAGTAAACAAACACATGGCGAATATCAATGTGCAAAACCATTGGCCCATATCTGAGTACAAGCACACACAGTAATTCACTTAT